AAATTGTCACATCTGAACCTACTGCCACCACGGTGTCCTGAGGAAACACCCCACTCCCATTGGACTCGGTATCTTTTCCTAGCAGAGAAGGAAGAACAGAAAACAAAACCAACCAACCAACCAAAGCCACATGAACAATTTGCTATAAACATGGTGTTGATCAGCTAAAATGTGACTCAGAAGCACTCCAGTGCATACAAATCAATGTTTACTAGGTTTCATTAACTAACGATTACATTATTTCTCTAATCAAAACACCCCCAAAAGCAGCAGGCCATCACTGCCTAACACTTCTCCTCTGACTTTGGCTTACTTTTCATAAAGCAATCAAAGTCCATGTGGTAGCAAGGGAACAAACATACCAGGGACCTCTTCTACTGGGCTCCAGTCACTCCAATCCTTGGGGCCAACAAACTGTGTTACATTAATGTAACAGTGAATCTTCACATAGTGCGATGTACACTCCAAAGGCATATCTGATGTCCAGTTCCAAGAAAGAATGTCTTCATGAGTCAGTTTTGAATAGTAAGTTACCTACAAAGTTTTCCCCAAAAAAAAACCCAAGAGAGTTTATGAACATCTGTTAGCAATGACATATAATCCCCCAGGTGTCAACAGAATGGCAAATTAAGTGAAGTAAATCATAAAATCCCAATAGATAGTTGGAGTATCCCACCTAACTTTCAGTTGCATTGTGAATTTACTTGGACAAAAGCCTAAGATGCTAAACAGCCCATCAGCCAGGTAGACTGCCATCCAGAAATACTAGAGGGCAGGCATTTGAGGGAGAACAGGAAGCTTGCCAAGCATTTCAAATGGTATACATCGCATCCCAGTATTCTGAGCCTCTCCCAGGCAGGGAAATGTTCCAACTTTTCCAAAATGAAATGCTTCTAAATATTAGTCCCAGGCTGCACATTTCATCTTTTCTTCATTCCTAAAAATTATAGAACAGAGCTACAAATTGGCCTGGAAAAACTGTGGTTGCAAAAAAAAAAAAAAAAGCAAACTGAACATTCAAAGACCACCAAGACTTGAGACACTGTTGGAGAAGTAAAGCAGAGATAATGGTATAAAATATCTGCCAAATTCATAAGCAAGTTCTAATTTAAAAAACCTGTACTAGATTAAAAAAAAAAAGCTGTGATTGTGAATAAGTACTCACAGTATAGCATCCATTGTCTTCATAACTTTGAAACTTAACAAGAAGTTACCTACCAGCAGTATGACTACACTCAGGTTCTGCAAAGCTCTACAATCTGCATTATTCTCATCTTTCTCATCTTTCTTCAAATGACCTCCCAGAATATTAGCGGGGACAAAAATTGTATATATTTTTCATAAAGGAAGAAAAGGACTTACTTGTGTGACTTTTTCCATTGCTTCTTTACAGAGTATCTCAATCTGCCAAAAAGCATCCAGTCTGTATGGGAAGACTGATCCGTTATCACTCCACTTCAGATTTAACGTGTAAGTTGGAAAGTCAGGTAGTTAAACTATGAATGTGTGGAGTGAGAGGAACAAATGCTTGAAAAAGAGAGGGGAAAAAAAGCCCATATTCAAGTCATTAGTCAGCAACACCAGCCCTACAGGTGTTTAACAGCCACATTTCTCTGCTCTGAACTGGCTAGTAGCCATACAAACATGTAACTCAACCTCTGTAATTAGAACAAGATGGGTTCTGTCATTACTTGAGCATGAAAGTTCCCAGGAAAGCACAGGTGCTGATGAGTCATCAGGTAGCATTTTCTTCTAACATCTCAGCATGCAGATGTGTGAGTAACTGATCATGAATATGACTCTTCATAATGCATAGTAAGGAAGACATCATATCTTTCACAACCTTCATTCAATGCCACAGAGATAAAGGAAACAGGGTGACAGTCTTTGACGTGTACATGAGAACACATCTAGGGAGTCTTCCTCCAAAGGAAGAAGTAGGTTTTGGAGACCAGCAGGGAAGAGAGGACTCACACAAAAGCGAGAGTAGGGAGGAAGGAGAGCAGAAGCACAGGGTGGAAGTAGCTCACATGAGGCTCTGAAGAGGATCATGAGGAATGCGATTTTAAGTTACAAGAAATATTAAAGGCATGACATGGTGATGGGGACAGGACAGGAAGATTAAACAGAAGCATCTCTTCTATGAACGGGTGGTGGTGAAGCAAGACGAGCAAGAGGCTGAGAAGCAGGCAAGGGTTATGGCAGCTCAAGTGGAATTGGGCCTGGTGCAGGATAAATCCTGTTTTTAAAATGTGTGATTTATCCATCTTCAGTTCTGGACAAGGCTCTGAGAGACTGCAAAGTGTTCAGCACAGTCAACATGCTACCCAGGATAACCTGTGAAGAACCTGAGAGACCCATCCTGCCTGGAGTCAGCAAGATGCTGGAGAACCCAGTGTGTTTCCCACATATTTTTGAGATGTGTTTTGTTAAAGTTCCTGAGCTGCTCTCAAGTGAAGAGAAAACTGAACCGTGGATAAGAAGTGCTACTGACTTTAGATTTTGACTGCACTAAAGGAATAAGCAGGCAAACCGAAACCAAAGACTAAATTACGAGCAAGTGTGGCAGATGGTGTCAATGCCATCTTCAGCTTACAACTTCCTCCTTTGGGAGGAAGGAAGTGGGGAAAAAGCCTAATTTATCTATGACTCCAATATGATGCAGCCTACCTCCCAAGCATAAATGTATTTGCTCAGTTTCATATACATTCGAACAGAATCGATAAGTTGGGCATATATTAAGAAAATATGATCCTGTCAGGAGTGACATATGATATAACTACCTTCAAAATGTTGTACAATTGCAGGAATAAACTACTTAAT